CCTGGTAAAGGGAAGAAGAAAGAGAGGGACAGAGGGAGGAAGATAGCTGGAGGGACATTTTTGCCCAACATTTGATTTAGTATTAAAACTATTCATTTTTTAGCTGGGCATTGGTGGCTCACACCTGTAATCCTAGCTACTCAGGAAGCAGAGATCAGGAGGATCGTGGTTCAAAGCCAGCCCGGATAAAGAGGTCCACAAGACCTTACCTTGAAAAAAAACCTTCACAAAAATAGGGCTGGTGGAGTGGCTCAAGGTGTAGGCCCTGAGTTCAAACCCCAGTACTGCAAAAAACAAACAAACAAAAAAACCCTTAATTTTTTGATAAGTGGGATTAGGATTACTTTGAAAGCTAGCTATGAAATCTTTTTAAACTTTTTAAATGGTACCATAAGGTCCCTTTCCCTAAAAATAAGCCACAATATGTACTTTCAATTCTTTGCGAAATAATTCATGTACCTTAAGGTGAATTATATTTTAAAGTGTACATTTCAGTGGTTTTTAGTAGGTCGAAGTCATGCAACTAACAGTATTATTTAATTCCAGAACATTCGCACTGCCCCTCAAAGAAACCCTATTTTATTAGCCAGGCCCATGTTTGTATTTTTGCTTTTTTGTATTTTTTAATTTTCCAACAATCAACTTCAAATATTGTATTAAGACAAGTTGTAAAAGAATAGAATAAATCTGTTATAACTTAAAAATTAAAATATATGTCATAATCAGAGTGGCATTTATCACTGAAATGGAGAATTTCTGATAGATACTTAGGAATGAAATTATTGAGAGTGCACATAAAATGATTACACGTGAGGTTAGTGGAACGAAGTAACATTGATGATTAAAGTAAGTTTTATGTGGACATCACTTTTCTGTTTCAGGGTTAAGAGGGATTTAGATTTGGGGTGGCACGTTTGTAGCCCAGCCCTTGGCTAGAAGTGGGAAAGGAAGAGTTCAGGCTAAGGGGACAGGTGGAAAAGTACGTACCCTACTCTGCCATTGGGCCTCAATTTCCCCCAAGAAAATGGGAAATAATAGTGCTGGTGTTGCAGGTTGTTACTACATTGAGAAGTTTGAAAGCAGTATTCAGGACTGTGGGCATTGGCTCAAGTAATACAGTACCTGCCTAACAAGCACAAACCCTAAATTCTACTCCCAATACCATACACACACACCCTTTGGAGGTGAGAACACTCAGGACAGTGAGATGGAATGGTGTGACAGAGTGGCCCAGGGAAGCTGTGCCATGGTTCCCAAGATAAAAATCTTGGGTTCCCTCTCTGAGCCTTGAACTCCTGGCCAGGCAGGCTCTGTCCCAGCTTGTGAGGGACAGTTTGCCTGGGGATGGTTCAGGCCCATTCTGTGCCTGGACAGGGTCACAGCAGCTCCTCCTCTTCCCCTGGGCTTTTCCTACTGTGACTCCAGTGTGAGGAACCCGGCTCAAGCACGACCTGCTCAATTTCATTCCCACAAATGATTCCCCTGGACCCAGCTCACTCTGTCCCATCCCAGGGTCACAGGCTACACCTGTCCATAGATCTTCACAAATGCAAATCTGCTCCTGCTGCAAGCTAGCACCTTGCTCTTGCACGTCTCTTTGTGGCTGGTGATGGGTCCCTGGTGTCACCCTTGTGTATGAGAAACCCACATCATCTCTGCAGATAGCCCCAACCCATAATGCTTAGCATCTCAGTTCTTTTCAGAATCACTTCTGAGAGTGAAGACCTGCTTCCAGCCTTCTCTGTAAGAGGAAGCAGGTGAGACCTGGGTAGAGGAAGGGACCTCGGACCAGAGTGAGACACCTGGACCACCACTCCATTGGTGGCCATGGGTGACAATAAACCTCCCTTTCGGACTGTCAAGACTGGATGAGAGAATGTGTGTGAAAAAGCTTCATCCACGGGAATTTCAAGTGCGGAGGACAAGGGACTCCCACTGATTCCTCCAAGGCCTGCAGCAGTGTCCCCATCTTCCCCCTCGGGGCACACCTGTCCTGTAGTGAGGCCGGGTACTGTCACAATCAAAAGGGGTAGCTTAACTCTGGACAAACGGGGAACTAATGGTAGAGTTGCCATTCAAACACGTCTGTGAGTTCTGCAGCTCAACCTCAATACCACAAGCCCCAGCCGCTCTGGATACTTGCCATCCTTGACTGTCACACATTTCACATTTCCTCGTGGGAAAGACTCTTCCTCTGGTCTGCTTCCCCTAACTAACTCCTAGCTATCCTTCAAGACCCACCGCAGTGTCACCCTCCTCATCAGAGCCTAATAGTTCAGTTGCGCCCATATAATATGATAATATGGGATAGGTGCTCATAGTTCCTATCAACATTTTTAATTATTAAATTTTTATGCTTATGAAAAGGAATGGGAGATGTTACTAGGTGTTATTGGTAACTTAACTTTTCCCCAACATTTTGTTATGAAAAAATTTTAACCTTCAGTCAAATTGAAAAAAAACTGAACAGTGATCACTGATCTACCCACCACCTAGGTTCTCATGTTAACATTTCACAGCATTTATTGTTTTATGATAAAATCTATCCATCTATCCATTCTTCTAGCCATTCTTCAATTTACCTTATTTTTTTGTTACATTTAAAAATAGATTTTAAGTCAGGAGTGGTGATTTCATTTATTATTTGCAACAATTTTATTTTTATCTTTTTATTGTGGTAAGATATACATACAATTTACACTTTAGCTCTTGTTTGTTTGTTCAAGACAGGGTCTCCCTATGTATCCTGAGCTGGCCTCGAACTCTCCATCCTCCTGCCTCAACCTCCTGAGTGCTGGGATTATACGCATGTACCATCAAGCCCAGCTCACTTTAACTTTTTTTGTATGTGTGTGTGGAACTGGGGCTTGAGCTCAGGGCTTTGCCCTTGCAAAGCAGGCACTCCCATTGCTTGAGCCACACTGCAGTTCATTTTGCTCTAGTTATTTTAGAGAAGGAGTCTCTTGAACTATCTGCTCGGGCTGGCCTCGAACTATAATCCTCCTGATCTCAGCCTCTCAAGTAGCTAGGATTGCAGGCGTGAGCCACACTGCCATGCTCGGCTCACTTTAACTCTTTTGAATGTACAGTTCAGCGACATCAAGGACATTCACACTGTCATGCAATCATCACCACCAGGGCTCTCCAGAACTCTCCATCATCCCAAGTTGACACTCTGTCTAATAAAGAACAATTCCCCATTCTCCCCTCTCTAGCCCCTGGCAGCCACTGCTCTTCTCTATGAATTCTAAATCACATATAAGAGGAATTGTGTAATACTTTTGTGTCTCTTATTTCACTTAACGTTGTCAAGGTTCATCCCTGTTATCACATGCAGCAGAATTTCACTCCTGTTTAAAGTTGGATGTGGTGTGCACCACTTTGCGTTTTTCTGTCATCAGGGGATGGACATGTAGGCTGTTCCCACCTTTGCCTTGTGACTAATGCTGCTACATTTGAACATGGGTCCTTGCATGATAAGCAAGGAAATAAAAAAAAATTTCCATTTTACAGAATAAGAAATCCAGCATGCAAGCTGGGGGCGTGGCTCAGGACAGAGCACCAGTATTGCCAAGAATTAAAAAAAAAAAAAAAAAGAAATCCAAGACTCAAAAAGGTCAAAATGAATTGCTCAGTAGTCCCAAAACTCAGGAGGCAGAGGCAGGAGGATCATGAGTTCAAGGCCAGCCTTGGATACTCTGGTCATCTAGATTATACACAAAGCCAGAACTGGTAGGAGGTGTTGGCTGTGTGCCTGTCTGGGAGGTGCAGGTATATGTGATACACAGGTATGTATTTACTGGTAAACAGCTACCCTGTGAGCCCCCACCCTGATGCCTGGCTCCTTACTCAGGACTCCTGGGGGCTCACTATGATCCAGCAGCCAAGGAGGTGACACCTGCCTGATCCACAGGCCTTGTTCCTAATCACAGTGTCCATTCTGATCAGTGCCCTGACACTGTCTTTGGTGTGCTGAACAGCAGCCCTGTGTGGGTCGCGGGGCCATGGTCTTCTGTGGGGATGAGGGAAACTGAGTCTCTGTTAGAGGTGATGCTGAAGGAGCTGGGGAGCTTAGAAAAACCTGGGGATTTGGAAAGAAATAAGAAGCCAGGACAATACAGAAGTCTCAGGGACTTGATGAAGGGCCCCATCACCCAGTGCAATAGAAAGCCGTGGAGGAGTCCCGGAAGGGAGAAGGTCTCAGGGTGCCACAGGGAAACCATTAACATGCCTGAAGCCCAAGGATGGGTCCCAGGACCAGGCAGGGAAAGGCCACTCACCACTGACCTGTAGGCTGAGGGACTCAGGCTTGACTTTAAGGGGAGACAAGGAAAGGCAGAGAGAGTGGACCTGCCTCAGATGTAGGTCTGGCTACACAAGAGCCAGAGTGGCAAGATAAGTCCCAAGCACTGTGTCTGAGGAAACAGCCCCTCTGGCTCTTCTCTTTCTTGGAGGTGGTACAGAAAGTCCCTCAGGGCACAAGCTCTGGGCAGAACTCCTAACTTTGGTAACTTGTGGGGCTGGAGCTGGAGGAGGGGCTCATGACCTGAGGGCTTTGTGCCTCACTGAGCCCATCGCTCATCCCATTCTTGCTCCTCATGCCCACCTCACTGGGAGAGCCAGGACAGAGCTCCACTTCCTCCTTTATTCCCCACACACTGAGTCTGAAGTCACTCACGCATTACAATGAGAAAAGGCACATGTGGCTTGAAAATCAGTTGGTTTTACCTACCCACATTCTCCTTCTGGTAATACCTCCTCAATTCCCCTTTGGGGAAACCACTCCCTTCCTTTCTCTCCTTTTTGTTTTAATTTTTAATTATGGTCAAATATCCATTACAAAACATTTATCATCTCCACCATTTTTAAGAGTGAAATTCAGTAGGATTGAGTATACGTCATTGCTGTGTAAGCAACCCCCTTCCTACCTAACAAGTCCAGTGTTTTTGGTTTAAGCCCAATTCCTAGCTCCAGGGTGGCGCTTATGAATAAGGCTGGACCTGTGACAGCATTCAGCTTCCCCGTCACAGTGATTGTCTCATAATGGTCACATCATAGAAGCTGATCACGTGAGAATCAACCCAAGGATAGTTGCCAGAACCAACTGGAAGCAGCCTCTCTTCCCGTCTCAGATGCCAAACTGGCAGGCATGAGCTTGGAGCCATCGGTCACCTTTGCAGCAACTCCAGGGCCTGCCGGATACAGAAACCTACTTGGAGCTGAAAAAGGGAGTCGGGGATTCCTGGTGATGCTTTTTTAAGACCTGAGACCTGGAGTCACACCTGAAGCAATTGCCTATAGACTTTTCAGTTGCATGAAACCTAATCCTCCTTTTGTGGGGAAGCCAGTTTGGGTTGAGTTTTTGTAATCTGCAACTACACAAATCCTATCCTGGGCTGCAGATGTCATTCATCAATAAAGTGCTGGTTTAGCACGCACAGGGCCCTGGGTCTGATCCCCAGCACCAATAATAAATAAATAAAATTATCCTGTCTAACAGACCCCTGAACTCAGGTTTCTAGTAGCAGGTGAGGCTGTGTAAGAGCCAAGCCCCAGTGCTCTTTGTCTTTTCCTCCCCTCACCTATCCCAGAGCCCTCCACAAATGCACAAATTTGTTTAGCAATGGTGTTGAGAAGAATGGATGGGGGAAGTGAATATAATAAATTCTACCAAGGGCAAAAAAATTATAAAAACTTGTCATTGATGTGCAGTGATACCAGGATGAGCGGGTACCTGTGACTCCATCACAGAGGGGCAGGTGTGGAGAAGGAGGTGCTTTTCAGTCATGGTTGAGCCCTCCCCCTCCCACCGTGTGTGGCTCTTCTGTGGATCTGAGCCATGCCAGGCGCCTGTCCACCAGAGAGTCTACCCTGGTGGGGGGCATGCTGCAGAGACAGCAGCTTGTGAACAGAGAGGCAGTCAATGCATCCCTCCCACCCACCCCCAGACACCACCACTGTCTGGCTCTTGGATGACAGTTTAGGGACAATGCAATGGAGTCTATAAGGTTTTCATGAAATTCCTGGAGGGCACCCATCACCTTCTCAGTGAAACTGAGTTTTTGGTTTTGTGTGTAACCGAAGGGCAGGTGTTGAGGTTTCCCCCGGACCCCACGGTTCTTCAACCCCTCTAGAGGCTCTTGGGCCCACGTGTACAAACCTGTGGGGGGGAGGGAGGCATGAGAAAAAGAAGTCTCCAAGCTAGAAAGCCCACAGACTCCCCAGACCAGGCGCACCGTGCACCTGGCGACTGGTAGGTGAAAGGCGCCCAGCTCCATAAACTCTGAGCATTCCCAGGTCCACAGTCCTAACGGGCTGCTCTCTCTGCAGTGGGGTCTCCCACTCTCCCTGGAAGCCCCACAGGATTCAGCCTATCCAGCCGCCCATCTCAGAGCCCAGTCTCGACCGCCTGGCATCCCAGCCACGACAGGGCACATGGTCACCTTCTCTGGGGGCAACCTGGTGCCCACAACCCGTCTGAAAGCAGCACTTCTTCCTGTCCAGCCCTGGGTGCCTACGGGGACACACAGAGCCCTGGAACGCAGCTCACATGGCGAGGCCATGAGGACTTCAAAAGCACCTGACTCTAAAGTCTCCCTCTGACACTTTGTAACTGGGGATCCCAACAACGGAACCCCAGTGAATCCAAACCGCCCTCCGCCCATGCTCTGGAGGAAGGGGCTTCACAGGTCTTCTCAGCTGCATCCCAGGAACACACATATCTGACACTAAGACCGGTAACTGTGTGCCGCTGTAAACTAGATCAGGCTGTGAAATGGTGGTTCTGGGTCCATGTTGTACACATGCTGAATCTTCACATAACTGTCACATTACTTCCAGTCACCCAGCCCAGAGAGGGAGCATATTGTTCCCATTTTGCAGATGAGAAAACTGAGGCTGGGATAGTCGCTGACCTGCCCACAACCTTCCCGCAGGGCCAGGAATCAAGCCCACGGCTGATTCTGAAGGCCCACTTGCTTCCACTCCATCTCACTATCTTCTCCACCTCTAAGAGTCCCTGGGGGGAGGGATGTCCACCCCCCCCCAAAGCGGCAGCCACAAGCCCCACACTGGCAGCCACAGCTTCCCCGGGACCCCCGAGCTCCCTCCCACCCAGCCCGGCTCCAGCTGCGGCGGCGGTGCCCCGCGGGAGCCCACGCGGGAAATACTCACGGCTCCCACGGGCCCAGGCGGCTCCGCGGGGCGCATCGTCTCCAGGGCCCCGGCCTCCTCGAGAGCAGCCAACGCGGGCCGCGCTGCCTCCTCGCTCTGGGGCATCAGATTATTTTAGCACTTGCGGAAGGAACGGACGGAAACTGAAGTCACATGGAGAGCGAGGGCTCAGCGACTCAGCACGGGGCGGGCGGCTCGCAGCAGGCATCGGAGAGGGAACTGCGAGCGAGCGAGCGAGCGACCGTGGGCGCGGGGGCGGGAGGCCGCGGGGTCCCTGCGGGCAGCAGCAGGAGGTGGGGATGCCGCTGACCTCCCAGCCGCGCCCCGCTCCGTGTGTGGGGAGGGGAGGCCGCTGCGGGCCTGGCCCCGGGAGGTCTGCTGACCAGGGCCCAAGCTGGGGCCGGCTGGGGAGGGGGCAGCGCACGTGCTTCCAACTGAAATTGAAAGGGGGCTGGGCGGGGGTCCACAGTCCGGAAGGGTCACCCACGCGCTGGGCCCCTTGATCAATTCGGCTGGGTCTTGTCAGTTATTGCTTAGGGACCCAGTACTGTGCTAAAACAAATAAATAAATAAGCGAAACTTACATTGAGCTTTTTGGTTATAGACAGCATGAGTTGGTTTGTTCTGTGTTGTTTTTAAATCTGATATACACAAAGTTTCCTGCTAGCTCTTACCAAGATTCAAAAGAACAGTGTAAGTTCATAGTACAGCTATCAAGACAGATGCCGTGGGTAAAACCTGTAATCCCAGTGCTGGGAGGCTGAGGCAGGAGGATCATGAGTTCGTCATCAGCCCCGGCTACATAGCTAGCTCCTGTCTCAAATAGTAATGATGATGATGATAATGACAAAGCCATCATAAAAGGTTGCCAGGACCGTGCTGTGAGCTCCACATGCCTCATCCCACAGTTTCTGTATTCCAGGAGTGGCCCCTCTCGGGGGAGAAGGCCACATAGCCTCACTGCCCTCTGCCTGCTGAGTGATGAGGACAGGCTTCACAGGACGTTCTCCAGATCTGTTCTGTTTCCCATCAGCTCTGGGGAGGTCCCTGCAGGGTTGGGTCACCTGTCTCACAGCCTGGTGATCTGTGATGCTGAATAGCATTGCTATCCTTAACACGTCCATCTAAGAAAACAGGAGCAAGTCCTTCCCTCCTGCTCCGACATCCAGCAGTTGTCTCTGCTTTCTAAAATACTCTCTTACAAGGCTGGGCATGGTGACACTCACCTTGAATCCCAGCCGGGGGGGGGGGTGTAGCTGAGGCAGGAGAGCAGGAGGATCAGAAATTCAAGGCCAGCCTGGACTACACAAGTGAGAGAGCGAGAGAGAGTGTGTGTGTGTATTCACTTGTAATAATAATGACACCAATCAAAGCCTAAGTTAAGAACAAATTGTCACAAAGCAAGGCTTCTAATTCAGGCTTTTCCTTTTTTTTGCCATATACACATTCTCAACTCTCATGTCTTTTGTGTCTACCAAAATGTTGATAACTCCAAAATTTTAATTGCTAGCTCCAAAAGAGAAGATGCAGACCATGCTTGCTAGGGAGGCACTCTACCACTTGAGCCACTCCCCAACCCTTTTTTGTGTTGGGTTTTTTCCGAGATAAGGTCTCTTGAACTATTTGCCAGGGGCTGGCTTTGAACCAGTTCTCCTGATCTCTACCTCCTGAGTAGCTACACAGCAGGCATCAGCAACTGGTGCCCAGCTACTGATTTATATTTTTAACTGTCCACTGGTCATTCAGCTCCTAGATGTCCCAGAGTCACTACGCACACTGCATGCCAAATGAAACTCTTATCTTTTATCCCAGCTGGTATGGCTGTCACCATTTTTTGCTGGCTTCAATCCAGGTAGCTGGGCCCTCACAGATTCCACCCCTCCCATTCAAATGGTCACCCATTCCTGCTCTTTCTATCTTGGAAATGTTTCCTAAATCCAACCTGACTCTTCATCCTTTGGTCCCTGCTCTGGGTCCTAGACCTCACCATTTCATGTCTAGATGATTTCTGTAACTTCCTTAAATTGTTCTCGGCCCCTACTCTTGCTCCTCTCCACTGTAGATCCCACCCAGCAGTCACAGGGCTGGACGTAAAATGTGTATCAGGGCACTCCGAGCTCTAAGCCCTTTCAGGGCTTGCTGTCCACACCTTACCTGGGTCAGTAGTTTAAAGCCAGGTTCAGCAGACTCAAGAGCTCCTCACTGATGCCTAAGGTCCTCCCTCCAAACCCACTTTTATATGTTTCATACATTGGGGTTCTCTGTGGAATTTCTTTCAAGAAAGGCAGCTGCTCCTCCCCAAAAAACCCTTAGAAAACTGGTGGTCTTGATGGTTCCGGAGAGACAAGCCAGTTGGTTGGTTCCCCTCTAGTAGCAAGCTGGCTCAGCAGGGTGGCCTAAGGCTTCCAGCTGAAATCAGGACAGAATTTCTTGGCTGAAAACAAAACATTCTGGGCCTGGAACAGTGGCTCAAGCCTGTAATCCCAGCTACACAGGAGGCATAGGTAGTAGGATCAAGGTCTGATGCCAGCCCAGGCAGAAATGAGAGGTCCTACCTTAAAAATAACCAAAACAAAAGGGGTTGGGGGTGTGGCTCAAGCATAAGGTCCTGAGTTCAAACCCCAATAATGCTAAAAAAAAAAAAGAAAAAAAAAAAAAGAACATTCCTCATGTCAGCAGGGCTAAAAGCCTGACTGTACAACTCAGGATCCTGCAGCTTGGCTGGGTGCTCTGGGCTCCCTCCCAACTCTGCTGTGCACAGCAGATGGACCCAGAGCACTGGCTGTCTGACACAACACAGGTGCTTTTGCCAGCCCTGGCCAGGCACATCCCTCCATGGGATGGCGGGATGGCCAAGCCTGGTGACCATAAGCCTCTGTTTGAACCTGCACCATGTGTTGGGGTGTTTGTACCCACCCCCCACAGCTTGCCAGCATCCCTGTGGAGATGTGAGGGAAAGCAGAGACTAGCAGTTCCCAGAGGAGGAGGGAGCCATGTACCATGTGACTGCCATTGCCTCAGTCTCTCTTTACCATTACCTCCCACCCTTCTGCTCCTCCGCAAGTGTGTGCCATCCAGGACCGCTCTGCCCTGTATTCCCTCAAACCCAGGACAAATGCTCCCCACTCTGTGCTCCTCTGCCAGGAGGTTTCCTTGCTTGGAATGGCCTAATCTTTGCCTGCCCCAATCCTCCCCATCCCAAAAGGGTAGCTTGGACTCCCCTCCTCCCTCCAGAAAGCCTTCCCCACCTTAGGTGCCACCTCTTCCTCTCAACACATGGTACCAGTGTGGTCAGACAGCTGACCTCATGACAGCTCTTTTGAGGTCCTGT